AAATGCACTCCTCTAATGTTATCCCAAATAAAGTACAGTGTTCTGAAATAAAGACTAAAGGATAGTTTTTAATATCTTTTTACATTATTTAAAACAAAGTGTCATCTTTGGTCTTTAGGGTCAAGAAATTAGCTTAGTGCAGTAAAAAGACTGGTAAATGGTCAGGAATACTTGCCGTTGTAAATCACTTTTAGCAAGCCTAAAAGACAGTGTAAAGGTACAATGCTGTTACTCAGTTACTGCTTACTTAAGGGCTTGCAGCTTTTACACATTTTAAGGCACTATAGAAGTACGCAGTTTGATCTAATTTTTTTTTTTTTCAGTGATGATGAGGACAACTTGAATTCTGATACTCAGGAACAACTTGATGCCAGAGTAGTGGTAAGTAAGCACTCTTGAACTTCAGAAACACTCTAGCCTTTCTGTTCCAAAGTTAAAGAATTGGTAGGTAATGTCTTTGGTATTTAGTTCTTGAGCTTAGATCCAGAGTTAACAGTACCTCAGTGAATCCTGATCTCTTACTGCAGAAGGAGGTTGATAGTCCACGCTCTCTTTAATGCTGAAGTGTATAGGAATTTTGCAGTTCTCTGTGGAGTTCTTAAACTCTGCAAATTTACTACTAAAATCTGAAGTATTTTGAAACTAGACTTGTGACTACTTCTGTCTTCCATTATCTTAGGAGAACAGCTCTTTCATTCTAAGTAGCACAATTCCCAGTAAAAAAAAGTCAAAGCCAGGAGGAAAACGTGCAAAACCACCTGAAGTGATTGAAATAGTGGATGAAGAAGATGGTGCTGAAGACAACTCGGTGCCTCTGCAAGGCTCACCTCGGTGAAAAGCAGATGAACAAATGAGGTGGCAGTGGTTGTTCTTCAAATGCCTCTTTCATGAACCTCTTTGGTTTAAAACATTGGTCTGGAGTCAGTTTTGAGCTCTCCACACAGCTGCCTTGGCACGTTTGCCTTACTGTGAGTATATTTGGCTTTTGTCTGAGACAGTTACAGAAACAAAATAACTTGTCCTCATGCTAAGCTTTGGAATATCTTCTGTGCTATTCTTGATCAATATACCTCCTTCAGTGGCTGATGATCTCGGTGAAATTCTGGCTTCTGCAACTTGACTTCTGTTAACCAATGGATCATAGAATTTACATAATTAAAAATGGGAAGACAGGTTCTAAATATTTTAACAGAACAACAGCACAGGATAGAAAAGTATATATATAGAAGAGCATGCAAACATCTGTATGCTCAAGTTAAAAGGGCAGTTTGGGTGCCTTTAGCAGATTTCTTTGTGGGTGATACTTGAGAGATTTGTTTTTCTGCCTTGGAGGTGCATGTTTGAAATACTTTAAAAGTTAAAGGGTTGAAGACAGAACTGAAGCTTAATGCAAGTCAAGTGCCAATAAAAATGGAGAAGTAGTTGGTCAACTTTGACAAAAGCATGGTGCAAAATGTGGTTAATGCATTTGAACGATAATAAAATCCAATTTTGTATGATTGAGGTTGTTCATTCCATGTGGAATAACTTCTCAGAAAACTAAATCTCTGCCCTTAATCTAACAGAATAATCTAATGTTGTAAGTATAATCTGTAGCAGTATAGTGAATCTTGGGTTAAAAATTATTTTTTCCCCTCTTGCCCTCTTCTGTCCAGAATGGCTTCTAATGTGAATATGTCTTAGCAGAAGCTAAAATCTCTTTATGAACAGTACTTACCATGCATTGCCCCAATTGCAAATGCCTCTCTCAAAGGTGTTTAAGTCAGTATGAAACATGGCTAGTGTTTAGAAGTGGTTTGGATATCACTGAGTCTTACTGTGCAGCAGTTTTGATGGCTGAACTAATAAATGTTTAAAATGTTAATTTGTGTCAGCAAGATTTAAAAACTAGTCAACTCACAGTCTCATTTAGCTACTCTTAACCAAATTGCTGTCAGCAGCTAGCTGACAGCTGTTCAGCATGTAATCTGTGCTGAACGAGTGTGTAGTCAGAAAAAGGCTTTGTCTGCTGGTTAAATTTCCTTCAAATGCAACTGACAGTCTGAGGAGATTTGCAGTAGGTGCTCAATATTGAGAGCAAGTCAAACTGTGTTATTTACATGCTTGAATTAGGGTCCCAAACCTTAGTAAAGGAAGTTGCCCAAATGCAGCTTGATAGCTCTAGGACTGCAAAAATTACTTCAGCATTTGAAGGTCACAACTAAAACCAGTCCAGAATTAATGGCTAAATGTAACTCTTCCAGGTGTGTCCCTGAGAAATACTCAATGGCTTGAAACACTTACCCGGGATCTAGGCGTGGGGTTCTTTCTTGGTAGGGCATAGTGAGGGGCACGTGGAGTCCTGCTCATTCTGCAGTTCATGTGATGAATTTGGATGTTCAGCTGTTGGGTGACTCAGAAATAAATTAAATTTCGATTCTGATTAGAATTGGATAAATATACATGAATATTAAGCTTATTACATCTTCTAAATTGATTGTTGAACTCTAGCTTTGACTCTGGGAATCTTCAGTTATTTTCAGTTATTTTTGACTGTATATGACAGTTCTTAGCATTTTGCTTTTCTTTCCCTTCTAGTTTATGTTGCTTTTGGAAGATGAAATACTTCTTGGTTTTCTTGCTGCACAAGGTAAGCTGTTACTTGAGTTTCAGTTCTGCTTTCTTCAGATAGCTTTTTTTTGGAGTTATTTCACAGAAGATTTTTAAAAAGCAAGTGCTCCATAGTTAAAGTACATTGCAGTGCTCCCCAGCTGAGCAGCCTGTGTATGTGAAGCTTCCAAGGTATGAGTTCAGTGATACATACCTTGCATCAGTCTGACCAAATTTAGAGCCTGTAGCCTCTCTTTGAACAAAAACTTGAATTCTTGAATACTTCAAAGTGGAGTTTTTGTTAAAAATGAAAGTTTTACCTGATGTTGAATGCTGCAGGGCAACATTATCTGATTTGGTTTGGACAACACTGTTTGGAATTTTCTCTGCTGAAGATTTAGGGATACTTTCCCCTCAGTATCTTTGTGGTGCCTCACCCACCCTTTCTGTGCTAGGGTGTATTATAAAGCTGCAGCTTCTGGTGGCTTCCCTGTGGTAAAATTCTATCTTAATTCGTATCTCTTGCAAGAGCAGGAGGGACAGCAGAGAGCAGCTGGTAGTCTTGCATGTATATGGCTGTGAAAGCTTCTTACAAGTTTGCATGGCTTGGGACAGTGTAGGAAATTGCATGGAAGAAAGCGCCTTGTAAGGATACAGCATAGGAAAACCCCTTTGACATGGGAAACACTGAGCTGAGGGTGGGTGAGGAGGGAAACCTTACAAGATAGGAACAGAGATCTCACTTGGCTGTTGCTGTAGGTAGAGAACTGCACTAGGAAGCACATCGGGTTGTTTGAGGAGGGTATGTGAGATTCTGGACTCCTCACCACAATTACCTCGGTTCAAGCTACCTGTCTCTAGAACTGGAAGCGTTGGTAACTGTCAGTTTCCTCTACTGCTAACAGTAAGTATATGGTCAATTGGGAAGTGACTTCAAATTCTGCTTCAAAAGTAGTAAAAAAATGAATGTGTTCAGTCTGTTCCAGCACTTGATCAGGTATTGTCTTTTGCTGTAGGCAAAAACCTGGAACCTAGTGCTTAGAAAAAACCCTTCTTTTGCAACCCACAGCTGATTAACGTATTAGTTGTGTTACTTATATGAAGGGACAATATTTGCATGGCCTCAAAGAGCATTCATTCATTCAAATACTGATCAATCTAGAGTTTGGTGGTCTAAATTTTCAGAAGTGTAGCTTGGTTGTGTCTTTGTAGATGAGCACACAGTGCAGCAGCAGTTGTAACTTTTTGGGGATCTCTTGAATTCTTAGGGCTGTTTGCTGACCTTCTGATTCAGGAATCCATTACTTGGGTGGACATCTGTGCAACATGGTGTAGCAAAAGAGGTGAGCTTTGTGTTTCTTCTGAGCTTCAGCGTAAGACTGTTGGATTTCTTCAGTGTAGTGCTATTCCCACAGCAAGTATCAGACTAATTTGTGCACTGTATGGTATCTGCACCCAGCAGTGTCTTCCTGATGCGGTGTTCAAAAAACAGTGCTACAGTATTTCAACAGCTGGCATCGTTGGTTTTCATGCAGATGTGCTGGTTAAACTTGGTATTTCTGTTGAAACAAGTACATTCTGTGTTTCTTAGTGGGAAGCTTTTCAAATACAATATCAAAGAACCGCTAAACTGTTAATGGGATAAAAGTATAGTTAAACTAGTGACATTGTTCCAAAATATTTTTTCCTAAAGGGGCATTCCTGTGATGTGTGGAACAGATTGGAAAACCTCTACACAAGTGTAAGTATTGAGGAAACAGATGGTTTTTTCCCTAGGTGGAGGTAGTTGTATGAAGATAAAAGCTGAAGTCTTAACTTCTTAGCTGCCTTTTGACAACAAAAAAAACTATTTTGAAACAGAAATCCAGGTTCCAGATGACCATTAGAGACAGGTTTATTTCCAAGTTACCTGTCTAGGCTTAAAACCCAGGCTGTTCTAAAGACATTGGGGAGCTTTTATGCCTCGTTCTTCAGCAACTAGACACTACCTGCTGTGTGTCTGAATTGGAAAACGTGGCTAGAAGAGTAACAGGTTCTGCTTTCCTCGCTGTACACTTAATTGCAGTGGTGACAATGAGACCTGTAACAAGTTCACTTAGTGGGACAATTCTGCAAATATACTTAAAAATGCAGCTGCTATGAAATACAACTATAAACTTGAGTTGATGTGCTTCAATTCTGCATCGTATGTACTAAAAGAAGTAGAATTAGGAAAAATACTCGAAGTGCTGAATTCTTGTAGATGGTTTATTAAAAAGCATATTTTGAAGGCGTCTTAAAATGGTCTCTTCCATGCCTTCTTTGTGAGAACTCCCTTAGTTTTACCTTTTTGTGGCATAGTGCTCCAGTTTTTTCAACTGCAGATGGATCTTGTTGGTAGCTGTGTGGTAAACTGAGCTGTGGTTTGATTGCAGATAAAATGCTTTGTTGTGTTATCAGTATTCAGCCAGTGTAACTGGACTGCTGGCTGGCTGGCTTCATACTGAGATAAAAGCACCCAAGTCTTGATGAACTGCTAAAATACTGAGGAAACTTGAAAGTATTACTTAGATACAACAATTTACTTTATTTTAGGAAGTGCACCTGAAGTCCAGTCTGAACTAGCATCTTGGTAAGTTTGTGACTTTTTTTTACCTTTGCCTGTTTCACGTCAGCCATGTGTCTTTAGCTTGGTGAGCTGCTTATACTGCTGCTCCTTTCTTACTGAGAAAATCCAGTGTTTCAGAAAACATGAGAGCTTATCTTGCCCAGACTTAAGAATGCTGTGAGAAAATTGTTGTGATGATTGGCAAAATGTTCAACTGCTCTGAAGAGAGTGAGTGAGAAGAGCCTTTCTGAACAGATCTGAGTACTGTTGTAGGTTCTGCTGATTTGTATGCACATACATGCTGATTTGTAATATTACTTGTTTTTTTCTGGTGGCAGGTCCTTAGAGAAAGTCAAGGAAGAAATACAGGATGCCATTTCACAGAAGTCTGAAGCTGATTTGAGGGTTAGTGTGACATGTGAAGTTCTGCATATACCTGAATGAGGTGCTCTGGTTGTCAGTAGGCTAGAAGCCTCTCAGACCAAGCTTACTAATTTGTGAAAATTTCAGGGACTGTTGTCAACATTACACTACTGTATCTTAATAATGGTTCATTCATTCTGTTATGGGAAGAATTTATTCTAACTGAAATTTGCCCAAAGAATGTTCATATTGATTTCTCAGGTAAAAACGAGGTGAGCAGGTTAACTGCTTAAACTGATAGTTTTGCATTGACCAGAAAGTTACACTTAGTAGGAAATTGATAGTGAGGATTCTGCAGAGTTCTGTAGTTAATTCCCTTTAACATTTACTTCTCAGGTACCTTAACTTGTAATTAAAAACTTGATGATATGAAGGAGGTGCTCATGTATCTTTACCATCTTTATTCAAAATGTCTTGAAACAACATAAAATGACACTGGAATCTGTACCAAATTTCCTTCCAGTCTGCTTGTTTTTTATTTATCTCTTGTGGTAATTAATAGTACCAGAAGTGTTGAGGTCTATCCCGATGGGATCTTTTCTGTAGGTTCATGTCGTTGGAAACGCCTCACAGAATAAACTTGTGGTTTGGCTTTACCCACTTAACTACCTGTTAGCTCTGTGGGATAAAACTGCAAGACAAATCTTAGAGTAGATTCCAAGGAATGCAGGGATGGCCAGTGTTCTCCTTTAGGTGTGCTGGAACATGCTTGGGATACAAAACAAAAAGTCATTCATGTGGAAAAGCTTGGTTGGAATCAAGTCAGTGTTCTGAGACTTGGGTGCAACTGACCTGAATTACATAGGCTGAATTTAGTCTTTGGCCCAGGCTTTTGTGTAGGCACCTGACTTGTAACACAATGTTTTGCTGCTTGTTTTCTAAATGGCTTGAAACAGTCTGTTCCTCCTTTAATCATGCAGGAGTGATTATTGTTTCTTGTTTCAGTGGCTATAAGAAGAGACAGCACTTTGATGTCTGCTGTGAAGTAACTTCATGAACTTGTTGCATTTTTGTTTTGTATCAAGAGGTGCTCTACAGTTCCATACTGAGCAGCAATATTTGGGTTATTTATTCAAATATGGGGGTTAAAGAGTAAAGAGTTAATTTCTGAGCAGCTCAGCCAGCTTACTGCTATACTGTAAAATCCCTGGATTCTGTTCTGTAGAACAAAGAGTTGAAAGTAAAAGAAGCAAAGCACTCTGGAAAAAGTATAAATATTCACGTAGAAGAATTCTGAAGCTGCTGTTCATGTTAGTCTGTTCTCCCTTTCAGCTGCTTGGCAGTTTGGTGAAGAGTACCTTTTAGTCCCTGACACCCAGTGGTGCATGCAGGAAGCTCATATGTAAAATTCAGCTGTTGTGGTTGCGGGTGTGTAGCCGTTGCAGTGTTACAGTATCTGCACCCAGCAGCTTTCTCCTGGTGGGATGGTCAAAAAGCAGTGCTACACCAGTGCAGCATTTGGTGTCCTTGGTTTTCATTCTGCTGTTTGTTAAACCTGGTATTTTTGCTAAAACAGTCTAATCTCTTCAGAGACTTCAGGGTACTTACTTTCTGTTTTCATGTAACAAATGAAAATAGACATTTTCATTTGTCTTCATTTTGATTATCCATGTGACAACTGGCTCTACTGGCCTCTGGAACTCAGCAAGTGCATCCAATTCTTTCTAACCAGGTGCCTGATGATACAGAACAGAGTGAAATGCCCTGAGTTAAAAAAATGGAAGCAACCTGTTTGACAGGTAAGCACTCAGTTACTGGTTCCATACTATTTCACAGTTGGTGTATTAGCTTTGTATGACTGTAAACATGGGGAACTACTAAACTGTTGTAGAACTAAGTGTAGAAATGGTGTAGTACCAGAGATTGCTGGGTAGTGATCACTGCAGGTGTTGGCAGTATCCGAGCAGATCACTCATCTGTGAGTCATTCCTTTGTGTGTGTGTACTTATTTTAAATTGCTGTCACAGTTGTGCAGCCATCTGTAGTACTGGTGTCTTAATTAGACTGCTGTTGGTTGTGAGGAATTCATCAGAACTTGGAGCTTGCCATACTTCAGGCTTGTTCACAACTTGGCTTATGTATCAGCAGGATTGATTCACTAGAAAAGATGGGCAGCTGGGTTATTGAGTGAAGTCCCGTAAGAGCAGGGAGAGGAGTATGGTCATTACCAAGGCTGCTGGGATGTTACTGTTTCTGGTGAGCTGTGGACATGACCATAAAGCAAATCCACCAGACTCCTGTGTTGCCACACATTTGTGTGGTACCAAGTCTGCTGGGAATAAAGCTTTTAACGTAAGTCAAGGACACAATATTCCCTTCTGCTGGTAAGATCAAGTTCCTGCTGAGGTGTAGGGATGTATCCTTGGGCACCTTCCACAGAAGCTATAGGGGAACAAAAGTTTCAGTTGGGAGATTTATAGACTGGATTCCAAAGCTCCTGCTGAGTGGGTGGCTCTTGGAACAGAAGCAAAAGAGGGAGACAAAGGCTGTACCATGCAATTTACACCCAAGGTGCACTAACCAAACCTGTACTAACCAAACCTGACTCCAGTTCCTAGGGACTGCTGCCAAGTTGCTGTGTGTCAGAGGGGGATGAGAAACACCACGTGGGAGCTACAAAAGTAAGTGTGAAGGCAAGAGCACTTAAAAAAAAGGCTGATACTGTAAAGAACTTGAAGGTCACTTCAAAGAGGGTTTGCATGGCTGAAAAACCAGCAGCTCTTAACGCGGTGACCGCATATTGAAATCCTCTGTGCAGGATGCCGTGGACACTCATGTGTGCTATGGTCTATATGTGAGGAGATAACACCTCTTGTAGTTAGGCCTCCTGGGCTGGAAATGGGCCTTATCCTGCTGCCTTTGGGGTTTTTTGATGCAGAGTACTCAGTTCCACTCTCAAGCAAGAATATGAAGCATGTGACATTATGGAAAAGGGTTGTTACAGTTATGGTTTGAGCGGGCTTGCAGCCCACGTTGCTGCTCGTGTGTCCAGAGAAGGGCAGTGGAGCTGGGGAAGGGTCTGGAGCACAAGTCTGAAGAGGAGCAGCTGAGGGAGCTGGGGGTGTTTAGCCTGGAGAAAAGGAGGCACGGGAATCTTCTGTCTGCTTTGTACACCCACCTGACAGGAGCTTAGGGTGGGGGTTGGTCTGCCAATTAACAAGTAGTAGGATGAGAGGAGATAACCTCAGGTGGTGCTAGGAGATGTTTAGATTGGATATTAGAGAAGTTGCTTTTATCTGGATTGAAAGTGCTAATAGCTATTTTTCCTCCCTTAGATCCTGGTGATGTTGCTTGCTGTAAGCCTGCTGCAAAGAACTGCACAGCTGTTCCAAATGAAGAACCTTCTCTAGAGTGTTCATTGTAGTTTTTTTGGAATTAAACGTTCATTTTAATAGTAGTGCATGTTGTGATTTGCCCTCCTGGAAGCTGTGGTGAAAGTGCCTGTTGAGTGTTGTAGAAGCCCCAGCTAAACTGAGAGTATAGAGATGACTGGAAGTGGATTTATCAGGTCTTTTCCCTCACTTCCCCATCACTGAACTCACCTGTAACAAAACCCTCCTTATTCTGTACAGAATATCACAGCATTTATATAAAACTGGGGGCTCTGTATTGCAGCCTGGAGTTACTTCATGTTTCTGCACTGAAAAGCCAACAAAGGGTTGAGGAAATTATGGCAGCTGATCAATCAACTGAGTTGCTGGTAGCAGAATGCAGCATTGGTCTCCTTCCTTGATACTCTGAGAGAAGAACAAGAATATTGATGTGTATGAGCCTCAGCAGCCCTTGCACAATTGCCATGGTGAAGTTGAGACTCCATGCTCTACTGCTAATCCCAGAGTTACAAAGAGCCTCCACTTGACTCCGTGGAGTTTGACAAGCTGGTTGTGGCTTATGGTGCACTGCTGCAGTACATGCAACTGCACCTGACTGAAAGAAAGGGGTGAAAAGAAGTGGAGTTAATTCATCAGAAATCTGCTTTCTAAGAGTTCCCTTGGAGCAGATTTAGAGGCTGCAAAAATGAGCACAGGACTGGAGGACCTGTGAAGAGGCTCAGAATTGGGGTTTGGCCTGGAGCAGAGAAGGCTCCAGGGAAATTGTTAGAGCTTTAAGCATTGCAGGGGGATTGGGCCAGAGGACCTTTAAAGATCTCCCCACCCCCAACTATGCCATGATTTGCTGTGGTGCATTTAACCAGAATGAGCATTAATGAAAAGCCCTTGATAGTGCACCTGTTAATTATTAAGTTTACAGCAAAAGTCGAGTTTTGAATTTCTCCTGATGTACTTCGCTCAGAAAACTGATAGAAAGCCTCTCTTTGGAAGAAGTAACAGATTTTTATTCTCCCATTTAAGTCCTTTAAAATGTGACTGCAGGAAACTATTTCTTAAATCAGAGGGTGCAAAGCACAAATTAAGCTCCAGCTTTACAGAAGAAATATCCTATCACTGAAGGATTCAAATAACCTTAAAACTTTATTTGAAAACATTTTATACATGTATATTACAAAACTTAGTATCTCTTTAAAATATTAACGTAAGAAAGGTCCTTCAGGCCAGTAGCTCAATCTGAGACAAACAATGAAAAAACAAACAGTCCCAGCTGCTGCTGTGGTAAGCTCTAAACGGGACTACAGCGTTTTGGGGTACTTGAGTTTTCCTACAGCTTAAAGCTGAGGATTCCTGAATGGCATCACAATTCATCATTGTGAATTCACCACTCACTGGCCTGGATTGTACCAACACCACTCTGTCCTTGTTGCTCAAAGTCTTTGCCTCTCATGGTGCTTTCCAAGTCTTCTTGGCTCGCAATTTTTCCAGCATTTTCTACAAATAAAACAAACCATGAGACTACAGTAAGTGAAGCTGAAGTGACTGCCCTAAAGCCAGCATGCCTGGGTACTGTGTCTGTAAGCAGAACATCACAATTGGGCAGTGCTGCTCTGGACAGCAGTGAGTGCAATGCCTCCCCTGTTCCAAAGAGGCCACAGATTCCAGGGCAGGGGCAAAGGGTGTACTTATTTCTCTTCTCTGTTAATGGTGGCATCTATAAAGCAATGTAACAAGAGCTGCAACTGCCTCCACCACAAAGCAGGTGAGGTGGTCGGGGCTAAAGGCAGGAACTGGACCTGGATCCCGCACAGTTGTCACAGCCCATCAGGATTATCAAGCATTTTCTT